TTGTTTTGTTTTGTTTCTTGATCTCAAGATTTGTTCACTCGTCTCAGCATACTGGAAAACCCCTACCTTTGACATGCACTCCAATAAAATTTGGATCTTGGATGGGAGGTGATCGAGATGGAAATCCAAATGTGACAGCAAAGGTTATTCTCAGTGCTCTCTCTCTCTCTCTAAATCATGCAGGCATTGATAAATTAGGCTACATTTATGGTAATGCTGATATTTTTTCCTTCCTTATGGTTTCAGGTCACAAAGGATGTCTCCCTTTTGTCTAGGTGGATGGCTATTGATCTGTACATTCGTGAAGTTGATAACCTTAGATTTGAACTCTCCATGAACCGATGTGATGCAAAGTTATCCCAACTGGCACAACAAATTATAGAAATAGGTACGGTGTTTATACTCTCCATGGTATTCTATTATTGCAAGTAGAGTAAAGATTGTGGGTCAATGGTTTAAAGTCTTGAGCTTACATACTAGATTCAAATGTATTTCAGAAAAATTTTCTGAAGATAGGCATGGCAGTTGGAGTCAACAATCAGACAGGGCCCAGTTTAAGAATTATGGCATTCATTCTTCACCTCTTCCAACACAGCTGCCAGCTGGAGCCGATCGCCCTTCCTGTGCAGGTTTATATCTCAATTTTAATGATTTAGAACCGTATGGGTTACCCGACGAGAAGATGCTCTCAGAAAGTAGTTAGTGGTAGCTTGAAAATATTCACAATTTTACCATGTCTTTTTTTTCTTTACTCCCTTTTCGTGTAGATCACAATGACGTGAACTCCCGCTATCCTCGACTGGATCTTCCTGGAACAGAATTTATGCCGTTGAATCGAGAGGTAAATCAAATAGAAGAAAAAGAAATTGATTCTCTCTTGTGCCACTTTTTCTCAAATCCTTTATGAAATTTTTGTTCCTTTGTTATTTTCAGTGTTTAGTAATGCAAAACTTCTTACTGCACCATTTCAGGACAGTCGGGAGTCTTTGGTTCGCAAAGATTCTTCGAGTGATGTTAAGAACCTCACCATAAAAACACATGGAAATGGCTATGTTAACAATTCTGGAAGTTCCCAGTCAGTTGTGACCCCACGAGGATCGTCTTTGAGCTCGGGTCAACTTCCTTCTCAGAAGAGGCTGTTTGTCGAGTCTCAAATTGGAAGGACCAGTTTCAAGAGGCTTCTAGAACCAAGTTCTTCACAAATCCCTGGAATAGCTCCTTACAGAGTTGTTTTGGGTGATGTAAAAGAAAAGGTGGCTGTCTCTTAATTATAATTTATTCATATGTAAGATTTGTATGATATTAACGGTGCTATCTATCAAAATATTAGCAAAAGCTTCTTAATGTATAACTCCTGACCAAGTTTTTCCAGTGATATGGAATTCTCGTTAGTTCATTTGAGTAGCATCTTGAGTATTTCTAGCAAACTCTGAGAAGCTATCTCCATATGAATGATGACATCTTGCTTGTACCTTTTATCTACTTACATTTTAGGTTTTTTTTATATTGCAGCTTATGAGGACCCGAAAAAGGCTGGAGCTTCTTCTCGAGGACATTTCTTGTGAATATGACCATGGAGATTATTATGAAACATCAGAGCAGCTTATGGAACCTCTTTTATTGTGCTATGACTCACTGGTAGCTGCACTTTATGAGTTTTTCTTTGTGACTTATGAATGATTGGGCTTTAGGTAACATTTATGATGTTTTATGTAACATCTGAAGCACTCTTGTGGTTCTGGGATCTTAGCCGATGGCCGGCTGACTGACCTTATCAGGCGTGTTTCTACTTTTGGAATGGTTCTGATGAAGCTTGACCTTCGTCAGGTAAGTCCATCTTTTTTAAAGGAAACAAATATATGTATGTGTGTGTATATATATATATATACATACATACATATGTACATGTATATGTATATATATATACATACATACACACACATATATATATATAACACTTTGTGTTAATCTACTATTTGTGTTAATCTTCATGCATAATGCAACAGGAATCTGGTCGACATGCAGAAACACTCGATGCCATAACCAATTATCTGGATATGGGTACCTACAGTGAGTGGAATGAAGATAAGAAACTTGATTTTCTGACAAGAGAGCTCAAAGGGAAGAGGCCACTAATACCTCCGAACATTGAGGTAATTTATTCATGATGCAAAAGGACTTGCATGTTTATTTTTTCAGTCTAACGCAGAGAAGAATAGTGAAAACCTATAATGTTCAACGGTTCACATCTTTTTACAGACAGTTACTTAATTTTGATGTTATAGTACGTGGCTCATTAGTTCCTTGGTTTTCGTGTTCATTCCATTAAGTACTGCACTTAAAAAAAATACGGATTTCTATCCACTTGAGATTTATGAAAAATGACATTATATTTTCTTCGAAGGAATGTTGTATTATTTGAGTATGTTGTGTAATATCAAAATATCAAACAACTTTTGAATATTAAATTTGACATTTGCTATATGTTGTCTGCTATATTTTAGGTTTCCCCTGATGTTAAAGAAGTATTAGATACCTTCAGAGTTGCTGCTGAGCTAGGAAGTGATTCACTTGGAGCATATGTGATTTCCATGGCCTCCAATGTATGACTTGCAATTCGTAGTCAACTCTGAGTCACACCAACATCAATCTATGTTATTTTATACGTACATAAGTATAATACTTCCTTTCTCTACTTTGGTGTAAATAATTTGTTTTTCGTGTATTAATTGGCAGGCAAGCGATGTTCTTGCTGTCGAGCTCTTGCAGAAGGATGCTCGTCTTGCTGTTGCTGGTGAACTTGGCAAACCATGTCCTGGTGGAACGTATAATTCAATAATTACGCTACAAAATCCTGCTACTAAATAAATTCATAAGTTTAATGCATAAATTTACTTTATATTGTATTTAACCACGTAAACATTTCCTGTGATAGCCTACGTGTAGTTCCTCTGTTTGAGACTGTGAAGGACTTGAGAGAAGCTGGTTCGGTCCTCAGAAAGTTGCTATCCATCGACTGGTACCTTCAACATGTCATCAAGAATCACAACGGGCATCAGGAGGTTAGAAAAGAACTTACTGTAATTTAAATTTCTGTGTAACTGCTGTGTATGGAGAATCTTACTAAAAACCCTGAAAAGCAATAATATATTCAATTACAGGTTATGGTTGGATATTCCGACTCAGGAAAAGATGCTGGCCGTTTTACAGCGGCATGGGAGCTCTACAAAGCTCAAGAGGCCGTTGTGGCCGCATGCAACGAGTATGGCATAAAGACTACTCTTTTCCATGGTCGTGGGGGTAGTATCGGCCGTGGTGGGGGCCCTACATATCTCGCCATTCAATCCCAGCCTCCGGGCTCGGTTATGGTGAGAGATCCTCGTTCATTCGAACCTTCTATTCTTGTTTATTTCTTTCCTTTTACTTCTTTTCATTGGACTGCAATTTTATTACCCTAAACACTTGGGCTTCGTTCAACTTAAGCTGTGATAAGTTAGGATATGGTTGGATAACCCCTGCTATCCGAAGTTTACTAACCATGATGGATTGATGGGATTGGATAATAAGCCGATGTGTCATGTGGGTCCCACACTTTTATGCACGATTGGCAGGATTATTTTGTCCAATCTTGAGGGTGGGACATTTTAATCTCACTTTAGAAATTACCATTTTGTCCAAAAAATCGGCATGTGAAATATCCCTTTTACCCTTAGAAGTCTACTAAATTACAGATTTAGGCCATAAAAATATATTTTGGTGCCACCTTATGCTTTTTATTCTTACATTTTATCCAGGTTAGCAAATGTTTAATTGTTTTTGCCTTAAAATGCATCATGTTTTGTAAACATTGGACGTGTAAAGTTGATGGTATTAAACTGTCCAATCCCATCATTTTAAGTCAACGAGGCCTTGAAGGATCATCATCCTTCAGAATTTTTCTAATAAAACCCCGCAACAAACTGCAAATTTCGACAGGGCACCCTTCGCTCAACCGAGCAAGGAGAGATGGTTCAGGCCAAGTTCGGCCTCCCACAAATGGCAGTCCGCCAGCTAGAGATCTACTCGACGGCTGTTCTCCTCGCCACCTTGCGACCCCCACAGCCCCCTAAGGAACAGAAATGGCGCCACCTCATGGACGAAATCTCCCACATCAGCTGCGCCACGTACCGGAGCACGGTGTACGAAAACCCCGAGTTCTTGGCCTATTTCCACGAGGCGACCCCACAGGCCGAGCTCGGCTGCCTCAACATCGGCAGCCGGCCCACTCGCCGCAAGGCATCAACAGGCATCGGTCACCTGC